ATTTCCATTTCTGTAATTTATGTTTGTTGCCGTAACTGAATGATGAACATCACTGAAGATACCTTCAAAGTAACACAGACTTCTATGTTCCTGGGGCAGTGATGCATCTTTGGGGAAGCGGTTTCCAACATTGTTCATTGTTATTGCAGTTCTGTAATCAAATTGTTAGCTTAAAAGCTATGTTTAAGGCAATTTTACCTGCTCCTTTTAATTGTGTGGCTGACTAGTTACTGATCATTGCAGTGCAGGATGATTAACAGAGTTACGTTGTTTCCCGTGTCTGAAGGATGCTTCAGCCTTAAACTAGTACAGCATTTGTCTTGGATACAGGAACTACCACACAGGGTACCCGGTTTCTGTTACTGCTCTAAAGGTGGCTTGCTCCCTGTATTTCAGTGCCGGTGGGAAGTTTCAGCACGTTGAGTACACAGGGGAGCAGCAGAGTTACAGGAACGCTGTGATTTCCAGGCAAAAGGTGGCTCCTTTACGCTGGCTTACTCTTCTGTCTCCAGGGCAGGTGGACGTGCAGCTCTGGCGCCAGGTCTTCGCCATGGGATTTGGGAATGCTTGCAGCCCAAGTGAGAGGGGGCTGCTCTGGCCATTTGGGTAAAGGGCTCTCGGAAACCTCCTAGGGGTGATATCTCTACCCAGGAATGCTGTCTTTTCATGGGTCTTTCAACTTGGATAAATTAGTATATTGCAGCAAAATATCTTCGCTTCATACAGCATGAGAAAAAGGATTAGTACAGACAATTTAGTTTGTTAAATTTGGCTGGATGATGGTGTCTTCTGTCTCTGAAGTCGTGGGGGCAAAGAGGAAATGGTGTGTTTGTAGGAAAGACTTCTTCATTTCCTAGTGTATACATCTGTATAAAAAGTTTAGGTGACTTTTGCTTCGTTCTTGTTTGCATGTTTTCAAGGTCTTTAGTTCTGTGATACAGCGTTTCAATAACTGCTCTGTGATAACAGACTGTTTGAGTAGCAGGCTGTATTGCTACAACTTTGGGGATTGTGTAATTCTAGAAGCTTCAAGGGGGGAAAAAAAACCCTCTTAAATTGAAATGGACTACTTAGTCGTGTGCTACTTAATCTACTGAAGTTGAATATTAATTAGCATGATTTGAGCTTCTTCCCTCTGGACTGGTAGTTAGGGAAAAGTGTCTGTATGATGCATGAGAAGACAGAAGGGCATATAGTACCTATTAAAAATGTGAAACTGTAAAATGAGTATTCCTCGAATAGGTATTGAAAATATCAAGGGTGGTTTTCCTGTTTAAGACTAAAATTGTCTTTAAAAGATACTAGCATAGGATTTATTATTAAAAACCACATTTTAAAACTAAAAATGCCTTATTAGGTGAACTGGATAGCGAAAGGAGAAGCCCAAGTATGTGCCGTATATGCATACACATCGTGCTGTCAAAAGAGAAACCTGTGCCCTGGGAATGAAAGCCCGCTTGTATTTCGTGCTTGCCAGGCTGCGCCGTGCAGGCTTGGGTCGTGCTCTTCCATTGAGCTCGCCACGCCGGGAGCGAGTCTGCTGCTGGCAGCTCCGCTCGTCCCGTCGCCGCCGCGGTGGGGTGGGCTGCGCGGTGGGTGCCGGGGCTGCGGGCGCTGCAGCCGCACCGCGGCGGTGGGAGCTGCCGCCGGCCGGCTGGGGAAGGATGACATCACCTCCAGGAACATGTGATGCAGCCGGCTGGCGCGGAGGCCGCTGAGCTGTGTAGGGAGAGAGTGGTGCAGATATTTATGGCATTTCGTTTGAGTGCGGTAAATGCCTTTTAATTTTTTTTTTTTAAATGAAATCCTCATAATCGCAGATGTTGTGTGGTGTAGAGGCTTTAAAAACGGGGGGGGGACCCACCTCAAGCCCTTAGGACCTGCTTAGATTGCTGTTTTTTTGTTTTATTATTGCTCTGTTGGAGATAAAAATATGATACTTTCTTGCCATATTCACCCCCTTTGCTCCCCAGCATTCTTTCGTCAGTTGTAATCCCCACAGTCTTTTTAGTTAAGCTTTAACACTGTAGAACTGGAATAAAAATAGGCTGTTTAGAGCAGTTTTTTTTGGAATATGATAATCCGAGGCAGTCAGCCTTAAGGATATGCAGATCCAGAACATGAGCCAAGCACTAACGTATTTGCTAGGGTGTTTACCTTGAGCAGCCCCTTAATAATCAAAGAAACATTAGCTAAATGTTTCTGGCTTCTTACATGCCACGGGCAAAGTAAAATGTGCAGCTACTCTGCATCATCTGAGGTGAAGCAGTTTAAGGGCTTAGAAATCTGAGCAAGCAAGTTGCGGTAACGTCAGTGTCTTGGGTAATTTTGAGCTAAGATAGACAGCAAAGTACAGCACTAGTTTCTGCATGCTTTTTAGGTGAGGAGAACGTGTTTTCTACCTCTAAATTTACTGTAAAGAAAAGGAATCACCATGGTTGATACGAAAGCTGAGCATGCTAAATTGGCGTTAAGCTTATGGCGGGTAGCTCAAAGCACGTTTAAAAAAAAAAAAAGTAACTCCAGAAGTGTGCCTGTATGCCTTAGCAGTCAACTGAAGTCCAAATATTTCAAGGTGGAAAAAGGTATCTGCTGTCTTTTTAGATGAGTTATTTAAGACCAAGGTTTTTTCTTAAAGTCTTGTTTAAAGCTTTAGTCCATACTAAATGAAGACTTAGTAGGAACAAAACTGTAGGCAGTGTCAGTAAAAGGTTGATAACCCACAGCCAGTACTCTGGAGGAAGGAATAACGCAAGAGATTCCTTTGGAGCTGTCTTAGAGTCCTGAGAGTCTAAGCGCAAATGTGAAGGAAATAGCTGTGTCCCTCTGCTGCTTTGTTGGTCTGGAGTTGCTGTGTAATTGCAAAATATTGTCCATTGTGTAGAAACCCTCCATGCAGCATGGTTACTCAAGGAACCAGTTTTCCTGGTCTAGCCTTTCTGAGAAAGTGTATCAAATTTTGGGTTTGTTTTTGGTTTATGGTGTTCATGATAAAACAGGGAGCTAACTAATGGCTGGAAGAGGATTTTTTTAGCTTGCTTTTGTTTGTAATCTGTGGGTGCTGAGACAATGTCCTGGTTGAACACTTCAGTTACAGTGAACTGGAGGGACCCATTGCTGCCAGACATTTGTCTAAATGTATTTTTAAAAAAATCCCCAGTCATGGATAGTCCATAATCTTCCACAGGCAATCCCGTGTGCTGCTTCACAGTTCTTTCCGTTACAACTTCCTACCACCTGAAGTAAACCTCTCGCTGTAATTCTAGCCAGCTTACTTGTGCTACCACTAGACTTTATGTGTTCTGAGGACTGCTACAGTGTCTCCCCTCAGTTCTTCAGACCAAACAGTGTCATTTGGTTTAGTCCTTCCTCATAGCTCATAACATGTATGTCAGCTCATGGCACCTGGCCATCTTTGCCCCTTGGGTGTTCTGTTTGGTGTGTCCTGGGTCTGTTTTCAAGGGTGGTGCCCATAACTAGATACTGTAGTGGCATAGAAGTCTCAGTGTTGCTGGCTGGAATAGAAACGCCGTGATGTAATTTACATATATGATGCCCATGTTTACAAATCTTATGTTACTTGATCACACCAGTACGATACCTTCAGATTTTAGCTCTGAAGCGCACAGCTCTTTCATGAAAGCTCAGAGCCTGTGACCAAAGGATATGAAACATTTGGATATTTTTAAGGAGGAACAGAAATTATGCCCTCCCTACTGGGCATCAATGACAGCTTCTACTGCCATCTCTAGAGGGACCGTGGCCCTTTTGCACAGAGGAAAACCACTGTCTTTTAGAAAAGACTGCCACATGTATACCAGAGCTTGCTCTTGTAAGATTCCCCTGAAATGATAAATAATTAAAAGCTTATTTTACCTTCTAAATAGCTCAAACTGTTGCTTTTAAGGAACACAACTCCTGTGTTGTAGCAGGCTATTTGGGCTGTCTTACTTAACAGCACTTCTGGCCTTCAGCAGTGATAGAGAAGTAAGAGCTTCCCACTTACTCCAGAAGAGGTACTTTCTTCAGAAACAAGATTTTTAAAAAAGCACGTGAATCCAAAGAGACTGGGAAGGATCATACAGACAGTTGAAGTGTGGGTACAAAACCACCCAATTTTTGTAAGATGAACAAGATTGGCCCAAAAGGGACCAATTCGGTATTGTACAGGTCAATCTGGAATACAAGGTCATAAATAAAATGCTTCCTAAATTGCCCTTCTTTAATAAGGGAGAAGTTTAGAATCTGGCCACAGAAATGTAATGGAAATAGAGAGGAGGGACAAGCTGATGATATGCTGCTTTGCAACATTGACTGTAATCACTCACCTTGGGGACCATTTCAAACTCCATGGGTGTATAGAGTTAACATGACAAAATATGCTCTCAGTTACAAAATGCTGCTCCTGTCAGGCAGCAGAAAAGACACAGGTGAGAGCTTTATCTCCCAATTCTGCTTACAGAAGTGGCATAAGGGAAGTTGTATGTAAATAGTGTTGGGGTGTCTTGGTGGGTCTTTTTGTGTGGTGCTTTTTGGGGGTTTGGGAATTTTTTTGTTTGATATTTTTGGTTTTTTGGTTTTTTTGGGTTTTTTTGACCAGTAATTGTTCTAAAGGTACCTCTCTTACTAGCTTGATACTACTCTCTGCTGGAACAAAAAGTGAGAGTGGAATTTGAAATGCTTAAAAGCAACAGGATCCAACTGATAGTTTTTATTTACTGATGAAAAAGGCTAATTCCAGTATCCTGTTTTCTACCAAGGCTTGCTAACAGATCATGCTATTTGTGTTAAGCTAGTCAAAGCGATGACTTGTTCATTAATATATTTTAAAGTTTAGTTTCTTTTTTTGCAACCTTTTACTATAAGGTTATCTTAATTCTGTAATCATAACATTCAGATTGTATTCCAAAGGTAAGTGTTTTACAGTGCATTCATTAAATGTAGAAGCTGAGCTTGTCTGAATTTCTGACTAATTATCTTGTCTTTTCCTTTTTTCAGGGTTTCGCAAAAATGATGAAATGAAGGCTATGGAAGTATTGCCAATTTTAAAGGAAAAAGTTGCATACCTTTCAGGTACAGTTATTTTCTTCTGTGTGGAACGCGTAACTATGTTGTTATTCACGTGGAAAGTGGTATTTTAAATACTTTTAATATCATTGCAAAAGTCATGGAAAGCTAGGGTAGCACCTGTTCTGGTTGGATATGCAAAACATAACATAAGCATTGTGAAAGGATCTGTAATAAAGAAGATACATGTTTTGTTGAATGTGGAACATACTGCTTGTTGTCGTCCTGGTCGTGTCCTGTCCCCTCCAGCATATCCAACAGCATTATTTAGAACAACCTAGAACAACCTGCTGTACTGTAGTCATATTCCTTCTCTTACTTCTGGTTCTTCTGCTGGAGAGTTTATAGAGATGGCTTTGTTACTTGCCCATCTGAGGCACTGGAGAAATATCTCTGTTGCAGAGGTGAAATTTAAGTGCATAGCTTTTGAAGCACACAGTATCTTCATGGTGAAGTGAGTTAGCATCTAATTTTAGCTATCTCCGGCATACACACTGAAGTTGGTTGGTTACTTAATGAGGAATAGCAGAGGATTTAAAAGTGGGGTTTAGATGAATGAGTATCATAACATTTTCTATAACTTGGTAAGTAACTTTACTTGGTGGAATGATGGCTGAAGTGCTTATTCTTGTAAACTGCATTTTGGTGTGACTTTTTGTAGTAAGTACTTCCAAATCTGTTGGGATTAAACATCATTCTCTTTGCCATAGTCTTAGTGTCAAATGATTTAGAGGACAGTCTCAGATTTGAAAGGGAGTTTTTTTTGGATAAATGATTTGTCAAGAACTCCAAAAATAAAGCTCTTATCTGTAAATATTAAAACATACAAAATGATCCCTGAAATTGCACTCTTCAGAGATTTGCTGTGCAGGGATGCTGATGCTTGCAAGTACAAGTTGGGTAGACATGGTGCTCGAGGACGTGGTTTAGTGGTGGACTTGGCAGTGATAGGTTAACGGTTGGACTCGATCTTAAGGGTCTTTTCCAACTTTAATGATTCTATGATTCTACAGTGTGTAGTTCACAGTACTTCATCCTGTCTTTTTTTTTTAGAGGTCCTGGCTACTGTAATGAATGATATAACAGAGTGCCCAGAGGCAATTTCCCTGGTAGTGTGGGAACTCCCAGTTCTTTTGCGTATGAATTGTAGTGCTGATGAAGGCTTGCTTAAAACTTTATTTTCAGAGGGAAAGAAGAGAAGAAAAGGGAGTTAAGCACAATATTTCAATCCCTCATTACTCTTTTTCTGGGCCTCGCTTTATGGCGCTTAATGAAAATGTAGTCAGTTTCCATTCCAAAACTTCTGAATTTCCAAGTTGTCCAGAACTTAGTTTAGATCCCTTAGAAGGGATCTGAAAGATGATAGGTGTTCTCTAATGTTAATTTGTAAGCATATGGCATTCTCAAAAGGCATTAATTCAGTGAAAGTGAAGCGGGCCAAATGAAAGCTGAAGATAAATTTAAGGGGAGATGATGGATTATGACCCAGAGCAGATGAGGTGCGGGCAGGAAGAAGCGGTTGCCAACTTGCCTATGTGAAGGTAGCAACTTCTGACAGAAGAATGGAGCAAGCAGCGGTAGGCAGCAAGACTGGCCAGAACTGATCTGCCAAAATCCGTCGTTTCACATTTCCATTGCAAGTGGAGCTCAAATGAAATACGATACATTAGTAGTGCAAGTGATTTTTAAAAAAACAAACAACCCACAACCACCATTAGGGCTTAACCATTGTGAAACTAGAACTGTCAAGCTTTATACTTGGGAACAAAAAGCTAAGGAAAACTGTTAGATTACTGACTTACAGAGACTTTCAATGTACCTAATTTTTTTTCTTCAAAAGTACAACTTTTGCTCAAGTACTTGGTTTTAATATTTTAAGTACGATAACTGGTTAAGGTCTGTAGAAGGAGTAGGACAAATACATTGGGGATATCTCTATTAAAACTCTATCTAAAGATAACTAAGTTATCTCTACTAAAAGCTCTTAATAGTCCCATTAAGCCTCAGGCATCCACAAACATCACTATAATTTTTGTATTTTGCTCTCCCTCATTTGTATTGGAGTCCTGGTACAGTTGTTGCAACGTGTTCATTGTTGATTGTCAAGTACCTTCTCAAGTAGAAATAAAGTATGACAATCAACAGTGCAAAAAAAATGGTTCTTTTTTATAGAGCAGGAAAGTTACACAAATAACACTGTCTGAAAAAAATTCATGGAGTGTTTGAGATCCTCAGTTCAATTCCTCAGTCTTTTCTCTGCCTTTCTCTGCCGAGACCTTCCTTCTCCAAGTTAAATGAGTAAGTGTGGGCTGTATAGCAGTGTATTCATCTTTGTGTTCTTAGAATACTAAAGATGCTGATCCTTCCACAATGCTGACTTTCTCAGGCACTTCTTGAGACCAGTTTATTGTGAGATGGACATATAAGGGTGAGCCGTCTTATGGACAGACCTGGACAGGCTGGAAGAGTGGGCTAGCAAGAGCAATATGAAGTTTAATAGAGCCAAGCGCAGAGTCCTGCACCTGGGTCAGAATAACCAAACACCCCAGTACAGGCTACGGTCTGTGCAGCTGGGGAGCAGCCTTGCTGAAAGCGACCTGGGGGGGTCCTGGTGGACGACAAGCTGAACATAAGTCAGCGTGGTGCAGCTGCAGCAACAAAGGCAAATTGGATCCTGGGTTGCATCCACAGGGGCATTACTAGCAGAGGTAGAGATGTGATGATCCCAGTCTACTCAGTGCTTTTCAGGCCGCACCTGGAGTACTGGATCTAGTTCTGGTCCGCACAATTAAAGAGAAATGCAGGCAGGCCGGAGAGGGTCCACAGGAGGGCCACAAAGGTGATCAAAGGGCTGGAGAACCTGCCTTATGAGGAAAGACTGAAGGAGTTAGGTCTTTTCTCCCTGGAGAAGTCTCAGGGGGTACCTTATTATGGTATTCCAGTACTTAAAGGGCAGCTACAAAGAGGATGGAGGCGCACTCTTCGCAAGGAGCTACATGGAGAAGACAAGGGGAACAACTGTTTCCACCATACGTATCTCCTAAGCCATTCTTGAGATGATGTTTTGATCCAATCAGAAATCGTGGTGTTTTAATGAAGTTAAAGCTCTTGGTAGCAGATACCTCCCACTTTACTCCAAGTGTACTATGTTGTGATTAAACTGTATTTATGAGAGTTTCCCTTTTCTCCTCCAACAGGTACCTCTTCGATCGGTGTTAGCCTGAGTTAGGCTGTAGTTCTATATTGCTTTGTTTCAGTCTTTGCTTTTCATTTATTCCTTTCCTTTGTTTTCAGGTGGATATATTTAACAGATCTACTCAACATAATTTCTTTTTCTTTGCACAGTCTGAGTACTTCATCACTTTGAAAGAACTATTTCAGTAGTTGCTTTTCCTCTGCCACAAATCACAGTAGATCTGATGTGATTCACTTTTGCTTTCTCCTCCATCATCACAATCCCGTTTAATCCCCTTTATTGAGCTGTTAACGATGTGTTTTTGTAAACGAAAAAAAGAGTGGATTTTTCATAATCTAGTGTATCTGAAGATGGATTTAGATGGAAGAGAATTCTTTTTCCTTGCCTCTGTTATCTGTAGCACCAGCCACGATAGCTTTAAAAAAAACCAAAAAACCCCCAAACAAACAAACAAAAAAAGCCCCACCAAAAAAAAAATACCCAAAGAAAAACCCCTAAGTTTTGTACAACAGACAATGTACAAATGAGGACTATGGTGCAGATAAGTCATCTGGACTTGTTAAAATCTGCGTGTTCCTTGCATATCTTAAAATATGTTAGTGTAGCTGTGATGCTCAAACAAAAAAAAGGTAAAGTTGATTGGATGACAGTTGGAGTGAGAAGGAGAGATGTAGTCTCTGAGAACTCAATTCTGAAACAGATCTTGAAGTGGGTGGGTTTTTTGGTGAGTTTTTTTGGGTGTTTGTTTTTGGGTTTGTTTTTGTTTTTTTTTTTTTTTTGCTAGGGCAGGAGGCAAGGAAGTAGAGAAGAACAAATACTTCTGTGAAGTATTGTGAAGTACGTCTTGCTGTATGCAGGTTGATAACTGCAAAGTCCCAAAGCTCACCAAGCTAGCCTGAATTCTGGTACCCGTACATATTGATGCTGGAATAAATTCTGTATTGGAAATACTTGTCCTTCATGAAACCAGTCTGACAGACTGGACTGCTGTATCTCGTATTGGTCAAAGTAGCAAAATTACTTGATGTGTAGAATGCAAATGCTTGGGTGCAGCTTCCCTGTGAATCCTGTGTTGTTTTTCTAAAATTGCCAACAGAGTGGTTCTCAAACAACAATAAAACCAAAAAAGTGGGGTGAGGGTGGGGAGGCAGGCATGGGGGGAAGAGAAAAAGCTTCCTTGAACTGATTTTCATCTAACTGGGAAATAATCTGCTTGAGTATTGGGTGTCTCACCACCTGAAATGGAAGAGCCTCTTGGAGGTGTAACCATGAAGTACGAATGGAGTCTTGGATGCAGTTTTTTTGTTCAGTTTAAACTGAAGTCTGTTGGAGTACAGATACTCTTACGTCTCTACACATACTTACGCGAGGAGAGCTTTTTCTTACAAGGTGCAATTATCTTGGTTTCATATGAGGAAACAGAACTTGATAACTTGTCCTGCTTTTCAACATGCCATAAAAGCTTGTAGCTTTACCCAAGTACTGTGAAACTAGGTAAAAAGGCATTTCCTGAAAAAACTGCACTACTCAGCCTGTTGGATTTTGGTGCCATTTGGAGACCCTTGACAAGGCTGCTGTTAGTGATGTGCACTAGACAGAAGTGATTCACATTGGGTGACTCATGTGAGTTGATCAGCTGCTCATATGACACATCTTGGCATAAACAGAGAGAGTATTTCAGTGCTGTGGTGGTTTTATATAAAAGGAAGGTGGTAAAAATGGAAGTCTCACTGATGAAAATAGTAGCTTAATATGTTTTTATTAAACCAAGACAAATAGGGGGTTGAGTTGGATAAAGACTATTGTGAGACAGGAAATTCCCACCTGATGTCTCATACATTGTTGCTTTTAACATTCCTGTTTGTGTATGACACAGGAGCATCAGGAGAAAAGGAAATGAGAGTTAGTTATTGGAAAAGACCTAAGAAAGCTTTCAGTATAGCTCATGAAAAAAACAAGTCTTAGGGACTTTTTTGCTTAATATTTACAACTTTGGTATCTGGCTTAAGATCGGATAGTGAAATTCTTTTCACCAAAAATCACGGGTGTATTAATTTCTTCATTACTCATCTAGACTTGAAATTTGTGCGGCAGATTTTGTCTCCAATGTACAAAAATTTCAGGATATGATTTATCAGAAATTTAAGCACCATACTTTAAAAATGGATTTTCTCTGGGGTGTATGTGGAGCTGGGAGCCAAGTGAAGTGGCATCCGAAATGACATAAAGAATATAGGGTTCTTTCCTCTGCCGTGTTGGAAAATCACGTGTTACAGGAGTTGCTGCGTGGGAAAGGCCCGGAGGACTGATCTGCGGTGACTGCGTGTAACAAGGCATTTGTTTAAAAAGCTTAGAGAGTGTTAAAGGCAATTCAGCCTGTGCTCTTCCCTGCTAGCTGCTGCTTTTTAGAGGATTTCCATCCTGAGCAATTGAGCACTTTTTCTGGGGAGTTGGAATCAGTAGTGTTTACAAGTTGAAATGTAAATTTTTGAGATCTGTAGCTGATGGCCTGCAATGCACTGAGGAGAGCATTAAGGACTGCAGCAGACTTTCAGCTGAGTTTGGTAGCTTTGGAGCCCAGTGATTGCTCTGGAGCTGAGTGGATGCCTGGGCTGTTGGGCTCTGAGTCTTGTCATTTATCCTTCCTCTCTCATGTGGCTTCTGCCTTGTTTTTATTGTGTCACTTGCTATGTAAAAATCCTCAAAGCTCTCTGCTGGGCAAGTGGGTCAGGATGGTCAAGACCAGGCTTGCCTCTCTCCGTTAGAATGAGACAACTCAATTGTTTTTAATCTCATGTCCCACTTAAGAGGATCATGGAAGATATGAATTTTTTTTCAAGTTCAGGTTTCTGGCATTGCAGCTTGACAGAAATTCAGAGCTGCTTTTGCCTCTTCTGGGTTTCATTTGGTGCCTCACGGGGAACATGTCCAGTGCAGACAATCCCTGGAGACCTTGACGGCGAGGCTTAGTGTCTCTAGCAAGCACACGCAGACTGTGTTGGGAAGGATGGTGATGAATTTTTGAGTGACTCATTTTATTCATTTGCTTTTGACCTTCCTTTCTAAGGGTTTTTTTTTTAAAAACTTTGTTTAGTAACATGGATTTACAATGAAGAGCTGATTTACAATGAGAAATCATTCAGGACAGAGGATAGTGTTTTTCTATGTTTCCATGGGACAGGAGAAAACAGTTGATACATCTGTGGTTGAGAACATACATGTGAAATTTAGCTTGTAAGAATGTGTCTGTGCTATTATACAAGTGTTGATAAAGACAGCCTACTGACATGAATTTAGCATTCAGTAATAGTTAACGTTTTATTGTCACTAGCAAGGGGTTGGATATAAAATTGCATTTTAATGTTTAACTAGGGTAAGTCTATGCAATTTAACGAATGAGATTAATACGTTTAAGTGGAACTACTCAAAGTCAGATTTTTTGCCTTACATATTAAGCGGGTTCAGAATTTGCTGCATTGCTAATAAAATTAACAAGTATAAACTGACAATTGAGAATCTGCATATCGGAACAGAATAAAAATATAAATAAAATGCTTAAATAGTATCCATCTACTCATCTAGTATATGCATTGGGTGTGAAATACTATATGCCTAAATTCTGTGCTAGTAATGAAGTGAATGCTGAGTATCCTCTAAATACTTGCCTACAAAGTAGCATAACTGTATTTAAATTTAATCTGTACAATTGCTGATTCAAAAGTTAAATACCTAGCAAAGCACCGTTACTGGAGATGTCACACTGCCAGTCAGACTTGAATGTGACTGTGATGTGTAAGTGTAATGCTATGGTTATTCTTTCTTTCAGTTTTTTTGACAGATAACTTCCTCATTGTAGGAATTGTGACAATATGCTGATTGATAGTCCCAAAAATCAATTTTAAACTGGTCTCTAAATGACAGTGTTGGTGTTTAAATCACTTCTCTTTTTAAGTGGATATTCATGAAAAAGTGTAGGACTTAAGTTTTCCAAAAGTATTCTGAAGACTAGTTTTGTAAACAAGAATGGTGTTATGCTGTGGGGACTTTTAACATGTTTAATTTTTCAGGTGGCAGAGATAAGCGTGGAGGTCCCATTCTAACGTTTCCAGCTCGTAGTAATCATGATAGAATACGGCAAGAGGACCTTAGAAGACTAATTTCATACCTAGCGTGTATTCCTAGGTAAGTGATGGTCACTTGATAAGCTCTGAAGCTATAAAACAAAATAAATGGATTATGTTGCAGTACACCCACAAGCTAGAAAACTGAACAGGTTAAGAAAATGAGCAAATTCATATCAAGTTCTGTCAGTTACTGTTTTCAAACTGCTTTTTGGAAGAGACCTAAATAATTATTCTGCCTTGTAGAAGGAAGGCTGTTGGCAGAAAGGCTGGTGTGCTTTAGCTGGAAGTAGTTTGTGTCTTGGAAATGGCACTGCCATGCCATATTGCTGTCACTGTGTTGAAGACTGCGAATACAACTCAAAGGCTTTCAGTACGTCAATAATTAGAAACATGCTGGTCATCATTCACAATATGCCTTGTGTGGACTGAAGTCAACACAACACTCCTAACTGTTATTTGTATTAGATAAGTTATAGTGTCCTGATATAGCACAGGAATAACCAGGAGAGAGATAGATATGTAAGATTGCTTGTACAGGTCTCAGATGAACCTGTGGAGAGATTTGTGAAAATACTGATATCATTGTATTATCAACAATTTAAGCTGTGAATTACAACGTCCTATTTAAATAAATTGGCAGAAGTCAAATCCAGTGCTAGTCTCTGTGTGTATATATACAGTCATATATATATAAAGTTTTATAT